TGCTGATTTAAAACAGGTATTGTGGAGTCAGCCTCTCCTGGTTAGGTTTCCTATATTGTCAATCATTCAGGATGGTTTTACCCCGAGCCGCATTATCCGCAAAAGGTCTCATCCTCACCAAACCAGGTGATAAATGAGCTGAATAAACGTAATGAAGAAGTTTAACATTACAAATGTGCCTTTTTCTGATGCCGTTTGGCTGTCACTCATGTTGGCCCAGCTGGCTTATCTGATACCTTAAAGGTGGGGTATGTAATTCACTTCAGAAACACTTTTTGTTATATTCCATGGAATGCTCTTAACATCCCGATAGCAATGAATATATTAAATGCTTTGACAATAAATACATAAAAAAATGTCATCTGTGGAAGCCGTGGTACTGTAAAAAGCACGACCAATCATTTTCACCGGCCCGGCTAAAATAACTGGATGGCTTACCTGCCTGTCAGCCTTCCATCTGTGCACAAACTTATCTCGTGCCCTCATTGGTCATGTGCGCGTCCGTGTGTTGGAGGAGGGGCTCTGTAAGGAAGTCTGAAGGAAGGGGCAGATTTTTTTTTCCGCTGCGTACTTTCAAATTCTAGCGCGCTCGAGCTGGTTTCTCCATTCTTACCTACCCTACCTTTAAGATCAGGACGTCGGATGAGAGAGTAAAAAATGACCAAGATCTGTAAGATCTACTGTAAAAATGTGGATTCAAATGTGATAAAAAGCCCATTTAGGACAGCTTTTGACAGAGAACCACACCAATGACGCATGAATCAAGGGGATACATCACAGGCAAACATGGAATATACCGTTATATTGATTTAAAGAGAGAGAGAGATTTCTCTGGCGTTTGTAATATTGGAAACATTTTATGTATTTCATGTGTACAAATCAATAGAATATATGTCTAGTCGTTTTTGGACATGTGCATGCAGAATTGATACAAATTGCAGCCACAGTAAGTCTATGTGTGAGTGCATTAGCACAACTGGTATTGAAAGAGCCCAACTCTCCATTGCTTGATTTTAAGAAGAAAAGAATAAAACATTTAAGGGTACAACCTTTCTTACTGGGATTTGGATGAGGAAATAAACTGTATATCATTCTGATGTCCCAGCGGTACATTTGAAGATACCGCCAGCAGCTGATTAGTTTAGCATTGAGCAAACACTAAGGCAGTTTCCGCTGGTTGCCTAGACATTGTCCAGTTAATCTTAAATTCAACAAACCAAATAATCAGGCAACCAAAAGAGAAAAAGAGAAAAAGAAGATAGTGGTCTTAGCTGATGATTACAGAAATGCTCAAGTGTCAATAGAGCATTTGTACCCCTGTCATTATGTTGTATGTGTCCTTTTGTTTTCTGTTGTATTTCTGTTACATGTGTAACCAATGTGCGGCAGGTCTCCCTTGTAAAAGAGATCATTGATCTCAATGGGATTTGTACCTGGATAAATAAAGGCTACAAACAAACAAAGAGCAGACTGGCATGAATGCTGTTGTCAAAGGAAGAGAACAATGCATACAACTAGCAGGATGTGCACCTCAAATCAATTCCACAGCCTTCCTTTGCTAATCAAACTAACTGCCAAAAGAGCCCTTTTGGTAGCTACGCTTTGACATCAACCTGACCGCCTGATTATGTTTGCAGGCTTTTGAGCACAGCGCTGCTCTAATATAACTGCCTAATGTAGGCCATAGGCTGTTTTCCAAGAAGCCAACAGATACTGTTTCTAAGAGACCTGACAGGCAGCAAGAGACATCTAGACTGTATGTCAGCATCTACAATGCAGTGCGCCACGCTCTGCTCAGACTGATCTCAGAGCAGCTCTCTGACAGATGAGCAGGTTGGGAGAGAGGCAGCTGCTGTAAAAGGAGTGTAAGTGATGCAGAATGGGCGCTTAAAGGTGATCAAACTTTGACATTAACACTCTTTTAATGTGTGTGTGTGCCGTACACCCACTTCACATATTAACTGTATATTGTCAGCAGGAGTGTTTTACTGCTGAATACTTCAAATTAGGGATGCACGATGATATGTAACACATCTTGGAATTTGGCAGATATCGGTAGAGATAAGTAGTTCTGAGGATATGCTGATGATATTACCCTTTAATTATGCACACGTGAGGCGAACCATTGCAAAAAGTGTTGAGGTTCATCTTCACACAGAATAATCTACCTCCTACTTGAGACTGACTTTAAGGTTATAGATCTCTGTCCTTCAGCATTGTTCATTGGACTAGTGAGGGATGGAAACGTTTTCCCTAAGGACTGAAGCAGCTAACATTTTGTAGCTTGGATATAATGCATTTAGTTTGCACCACATCTTGCGGTTACAGGGTTGTTCGTAGCACCTAGTGCGCAGATTAAGCCTAGTTTTTAGTGTACAATTATAAAGGATAAGCAACACATTGGGCACCTTTTTTTAAATTATTTACTTCAGTTATTATATTATTACATTTAAAGGTAAGTTTGAGAAACTGGCTCGAGATCGCTAGAATTTGAAAATACACAACCGGAGAAAATCTGCCACTTCCTTACAGAGCCCCTCCTCCAACACACACGAACGTGCACATGACCAATGAGGGCACGAGATAAGTTTGTGCACAGATGGAAGGCTGACAGGCAGGTAGGCCATCCAGTTATTTTAGCCGGGCCGGCTAAAATGATTGGTCGTGCTTTTTACAGTACTACGGCTTCCACAGATGATGTTTTGTTATGGATTTTTTGTCAAAGCACTTAAGATATTCATTGCTATCGGGATGTTAAGAGCATTCCATGGAATATAACAAAAAGTGTATCTCGAGCCGGTTTCTCAAACTTACCTACCCTACCTTTAAACAGCCTACCAGTGAAGGCCAACAAAAGAGGGAAAATATCAGCATATCGAAAAAACTCCATTATCCTGCTTCCATACATAAAAACACACCTTTGCACCAATGAGCATAGTACGACTGTATTACTCTCCTTGTTGATCATTCTGATGATTATTTCCTTTGATAATTAGTTGTTTGGTCTATAAAATGTCATAAAAGGGTAAAGAATCAAACATTGTTTCTGAAAGCCCAATGTCTTCATGTGTTGTTTTATCCACTGCTCAAACATACTCAGTGAAGAACACAGAAAATATCCACAGAGAATTCTTTCTGTTTTTGATAAAAAAATGACTCGAACATATTAATACATTTTGAAAAAGGTTGCTTTCATTTAATAATTGACAACTAGGTATTCATACATAACTGGCACCTCACATAGGTGACAGGAGGTTGAGGGAACTGACTTCTGTCTGATAATAATGATGGTATGGGATCTCTCTCCTCTATCCCTCTACCATCTCAGCCTTGAGAGGTTCTGCCCTTTTTCTCAAGGTTTCTCTTTTAATTGGACAGTATAGAAAAGGAATTATCCAAGAACGTCTCTCTGAACTTTAATATAGTAACTGCTGTGAACTCTGACCAGCTGCTGTAAGGATGAGAAGGACATACCACTTACAGCCGGGGCCACTCATTACTTTCTAAAACCACTCCCTTTTAGAGAAATCTGACTAAGAGCTGGAAAATGTTTGAAGGCAATTGACAAAAATGTGAAACTTTAATTAGGTTATCCTAACACATATGACTGAATCCCCGTGGTGAAATGACCTAATCCGATCAAGTTTTGCCTGTTACTTGTCCAGCACATGATGATGACTCTGTAGCGAAACTGGATCTCTGTAGCCTATCATAGAGATTCAGTGCTGTGCTTTCGTGTGCACATCCAAGAAGCTTATTTCCCATGCGCTGACAAGATATCATAAATTAACATTACTTCCATGCATGACACTAATCATGTCTTAATTATGCAATTAACTATCTCTCTTGAAATAGTCCATATTTCAAAGGGTTCATTCAGGCATTCACGTGTTCTCTCGCAGTATGAGCACTTTCTGCCTCTCATATTTTCTGCATGGGGGCTAATATGAAGCGGAGACTTTGTATGCTGTCAGTGTATGTTGTGTGGGCGTTATTGTGTGTGATGAAAATACTGATTTAGGTTGAATCAGCTGAATTTATTGTCAACTCTGGATAATAACAGCTGTCGATTAGTGAAAAGCAGAGGTGCAAGAAGTACTCAGATTATTTACTTAAATAAAAGCAGCAAAACTACAGTGTAAACATACTCATTTACAAGTAAAAGTCCTGCATTCAAGCATTGTACTTAAGTCAAAAAGTATTAGCATTGAAAAATACTCTAAGGACCAAAAGTACTCGTTATGCAAAATAGTCACACTAGATATTTTGTAATCTATATACATTTGATTTCATTTTTCCATGACGGCTACAAAAAGTGTACATGTTTTGTTTTATAATAATTGCCATGAGTGGAATTAACTAATAAATACATTTACATGTATTTAATACAAATTATTGATGTATTATTGTTTTAATCACTTAAATATTAAAATTGGTAAAGGTGGGGTTTATTGACTTATTTGATTCAATTTAAACACTACTGGGTTGCTTAAGCTATAATAATATATAATAATGTGTTTCGATTTACATTTTGTATTATTATCCTAAATCTGCAAAGTAACTAGTAACTCAATATGTTTTAGATAAAAGTAACATTTACCTACAAAGCGTAGGGAGTTAGAGAAGTATAAAGCAGCATAATGTGAAAATAGTACAGTACTGGAGTAAACGTACTTATTTAAATTACTCCACTGGTAACAAGTTAGGCTCCAACATTCCCAAAACACAAAATCAACATTTGTTAAATGAAGACAACATGCACACAATATGAAGTGTATAGATAGACATCTTGTTAACAGTCATGGTAGAAACTTTGACAACTTAGCTTCAGAATCACAGCACAACTTTGTCTATATAACAAGCTAGTGCTGGCTTGTAACGAGTAAAATACGACACTTATCGTCAAATATTAACAAATATAACTGCATCTCTAACTTCTAAAGTCGTATTTATTTCGAAAGGGTTTATGGGAAAGCGTGCATGACTTTTTCATCACTTACCATCTTCGTTTTCGTCGAAGACGGGTCTCTTTGAAGAACTGTTGGCTCCCATCCTCTTCTTCCACTTGCCCCAGTGAAACATTGATGCTCAGATAGCATTCCTCGCCCCTTGAGGAGAAACTACAGCTGACTCCCTCCTCAAAAGATTCTAACCATACATTTCACCCAACCCGTGTTCGTTATTTCGCTTTAAATTTAACCGATGTAAATTCTACCGAAAATGTGAGCGTCGCGACCTAAAGTCTCTCTAAACCAGGCGGGAGGACTGTAGCAAGTACCGACGGAATGTCAGATAGTTCAGAGTCTGTTCGGTTATTACAGTTGTTAGGTTAACGTTCCGTTAATCACTCGGCACTGGTAGTTGTCTTCCGTAGCCTGCCAGCCAAACCGAGAGACTCCCGTTTTGTCGGGGCTGAGAGTAGAAGCTGCATCAAGTTAGAAAGAGTTAGCTAAAAGAAAACAGGAAGTCAGGCTATATCCCCTTAAAAATAAAAGCTTAAATGGATTGCAGATATGCTGCATTAAACTGCAGCATGATTCGAGTTTCATATTCATATACAGCTTAACAATTACATCTAATTCAGTCATTTTTAGAAGACAATTGACAGCAAAGCACGCTTCAAAATAATGTAATCATGATTAAATGACTTAAATGATCGAATCTTGACAACATTAGATGGTAGCTATGAGTGTGATGATCACCAGCTAGATAACTCGTTTCTATTAATATACTCTATTGTATAGAGCACGTAAGAAATTAGGGAAAAGGAAAACAAGATTTACATCTTTCAAAAACCCTTCTTGTGTAATTAAATATATACAGTCTATGAATTAAATCTGTTTTTAATATTTACTGCAAATTAGACTTTTATTGTGAAATGTACAACCGGAAGCCACTCTCTAGTCCATCTAACTAACTTGTCACTTGTGAGTAGTGTGACAGTTGCTGGCCAGTGACTGTAGTCGACGTAGCCCTGTATCACAGACTGTGGTGAATTTCAGCACATAAGTACCAGCCTCTGTTGGTGAAGCCAGGATAGCTCACTACAAACTGAGGGGGACTTCTCAACGCATGTTACCAGGAGATAACTGCTATCCACCAGCCCAAAATAAACCTCTGTTAATGTCCCCACAATCTCATTAGGAGATGGATGGGTGGTGCCCGGATCACTGAGGGAGAAAAAGGGATTTAACACGTTGTCTCTGTATATGAACACCAGATCTATCTGCTCTGTTACACTAACACATATTGAAATACATATATTGATGTTCAATGTAGCTCCGGCATGTGACCTGCTCACATTAAGGAATCATTGATGTGTTTTCAAAACAATCTCTGGTTGATGCATTATGGATGCAGTTCGCCTTGTTTGCACGTGGACGGTTGCCGTAGTTTATGTTGACCTCGTTGCCATGGTTACGACGTCGAACTCGTGAGACGATATCTAAAAGTTAGCATGACAATAACTATGGCATATTATTCTTAGTTTTTATAAAGTGTTTATTTTAAGAAGACACCAGGTTTTGCCCACATGATAAGAAGATGTTTACCCACATTTCGGGTAAGCTAATACGGTGGTTGAATGTACAATAGTTTAATTGTTTACTAATGTTAGCTAATGTTAGTTAGCATCAGTGAATGAAAAGCTACACTTACCTGTAGGCAGTTGTGGAAGAAGTACTATGCATTCTAAATATAACTCAATTAAAACGACAAACGTATTGGCATTAAAATGAAAGTATCTACTCTTTATGCAGAATGGTCCTTTAAAGGATCATTTTATATACTTTATTTATGCATTAATGTGTTCATCTCTTTAATGTTGCAGCTGTTAATGAAGGAGATCATTTGCAATACTTTACATTCTACTGGGTGGCTTAATTAATAATAATACATCATCATTTATTAGCTTCATTGACACATCATTTGCATTAATAATCTTAACCTGCAAAGTAATTTAAAATGTCAGATTAATAGAGTGGAGATAAAAAACAGCCCAGAATATGTAGCTCTAAGTGTAGTGAAAATACTAAAGGAAAGTACACACAGTGGTGGAAGAAGTACTTATAGTAGTAGTATGTTTACTTAAGTAAAAGTGGCAATACTACACGTTAACAGTATTGTTACAAGTACAAGTCCTGCATTCAACCTTTACTTAAGTAAAAGTGCAAAAGTATCAGCATCAAAATATACTTAAAGTATCCTCCTTATGCATAATGGCACATTTTAGAATTGTATAAATATTGAGTTACTGGGTTAGGGATATTCCTGTGTTTTTATTACTGCTGGTAAAGGTGGAGCTATCATATATGTCGTTTATTAAATTATTTATTTATGTTTTGCATTAGCTAATAATCTTAATCTAAAAGTAATTAGCAACTAAACGCTGTCAAATAAATGTAGTGGAGTAAGAGTACAATTGTGGCTTCTAAAATGTAGTGGAGTTGAAGATTAAAGTATACATTAATTGAGAATACTTCAAAATTGTACTTAAGTACAGTACTTGAGTAAATGTACTTTGTTGCTATCCACCACTGAGTACACATACAGTATGTCTTACTTGTACTACTTGATTAAATTGATTTAGGAACATTTGTTATACAGTCTAAGGTTACATATCACCACTTCTTGTAGGCAAGTTAAAATCTCAGTTTAATAATTCAGCTGTTTAGACGAGAAACAGCAATGTGATTCCAACATAAACATTCTCATTTTCAAACACAGGGAGGAAAAAACCAATGCACAAAGACACCTGAACAATGCTCTATGGTCACTGATCATCTCATCAACACCTGTCTCCACGATGTCTTCCCCAGAGGAGGAGGCTCCTGACCTGCAGCTACGTTTTGTGTTTGGGAACAGTGTTGTCAAACCGCAGAATCCCCACATTCTGCCTGAGGATGAAGAGGCACAGGAACCCCCAGAACATTATTCAACTGAGACATTATGTCTGAGCAGAACGCAGCGGAAGCATGTCGCAGAAAGTATTTTGAAAAATACCATGCTAAAGGTCAGTTGTGACTTCACGGTGCATTCGTCAGCCCACCTACCTTAGGTACATATGCTGTGGTGGTTATCAAGCAAAACAAATCCGTGATGCATCCCGGAAAAAATGAGGCCAACCATTTTATATATCAGTATCATTTGTTATTTGGAAAATCAATCATCTCTAACTGCCCATTATCTCATCTTTAGTATTTATATCTTGAAGGCAACCAGATATCCAGTATCCCAGATTCAATGTTCATCCGCTTGCCCAACCTTCTGTGGCTGGACCTCAGAAATAACCACATTGCATCGTTCCCTGCTGAAATTGGCTTGCACAGGTATGAAACTGCTCTTTGAAATAAAATAAACAGATTTATTCCCAATCCCTCATCCACTCTCATGTCAAATTTCAGAACCTTTTGAGATATGATTTCTATTTGAGAATTCTGTTTCATGCCATATGCTCTGGAAATCGAATTAATGATTCCAACGTGTGGCAAAATGTGATTATTTCTGTACAATGTGTTCAGTTTAAGACTCAAACGTATCCCTGTCAACCATCTAACAATCTGTGATTCTGCTCACGCAGGTCTCTGAAGACATTACTTCTGGAGGGAAACCCCATCTCGGAGCTTCCAGCTGAGATGGGTGAGATGACTTTAGTCACCTTTACCAGCAATACATGTGTGCAGCCTTTGACATAACAAGCAGTTCTCCTGTTGAATCACTTTCAGGGAGCCTTACTGGCAGCTAACATAGAGCTAGCAATGAATGTTTATTAATGGAACTTTTCCACAGAAGTGTTTGTCAAGTTTTAGTTGTCACTTAAACTTTTGCAAAAACACTGTTGCTGCCATGTACAAGACAATAAAGGTATAAGATGTGACATTACCGCCTTAAAATACAAACAAATACTCCAGCTAATATTGTTGAGTTCTTTAATTACATTATCTAAGAAGTTTCCAACAATTTAAAACCTGGAAATGTGTCAATGATTTTGTGGCCAGTATCCCTGTTTTATCCTCTGTGCATGCATCGGAATTGAGATTGTCTGCCAGAAGTTGTCATAAATTAACTTGAATTCCAATCCACTCTTTTCTTTTAAGGTAAATGATTTTAGTCAACAGATTTATGGGTCTTAAGTTATCAGAGAAATCATTATTTAATGTGTTTACTGTTTTGAATTTGGTAAAAAAAACTCCTGATTGATGAACAATAAAGGATTACTGACGACAGCAATCATGTTTAATACAACAACTCCTATGATCTACTTCAGAATGCCACCAAAAGTCTTTTGTTAGGGCACGTACACATGCACAAAAGTAACATTTGCCTCCCTTTTTCTTCCATTTTATGCGAGTGAAGGGGCAAAAAATGGTTTGCTTTAATGGCAAAGCAATTTGCATCTTGGCCTCACCTCGGCTGACAATAGTTGTTTCTCGCTCGCCTTGTGCATGTGTTATCGTCACATTGGTGTATTTAGAGGAAGAGCAGAAAGTGATGTCTTATTATTTTTAACGCTGAGAATATACAGTGTGTTAATTCCTCCACTGTTGCGCCCATTGTAAATAATCAGTATATGTTTGCCTTTGTGTCAACTAAATGCAAGAACCTGTAAACATACTTCTAATGTATACTTTATTTGTCCATTTCTTTCCAGGAAATGTAATTACCCTTAAAGGCCTTAACCTGAGGAACTGCCCCATCACTTTCCCTCCACAACACATAATAGACCAGGGGCTTCAGAGCATCCTGCAGCACCTCCGCAGTGCAATGGCTCAGCGGCCAGTCAGCACGAAGAAGAACCCCCCAGGTAAAAAGAGTGTCGTATTTTTGTAGGCTGACCTAGAAGTTAGCATAGTACGGGCTACTTTAACAAAAGGCCAATTGGATTTCTCCATTTGATCTTGTGATATGAAGAAAAGAAGATAAAAACAAAAAAACAAACATCTTGTCCAGCAGGATAATCCCCCCATATTAAAACCACTTTAATGATAGTTTGTGTAAATGCAATTGCAAGAACTAAAATGCTTACTTTGAAAATAATTTTAAGAGAAAAAGGATTTGCATTTGCATTTCATTTCCAAATGTTAATACATAAAATTCATATCACTCTCAACTCTCTGTACATGGAATAAGAAACTACAGCCAGGAGATGGTATGTTAACTTAGCTTAGCATAGCACTGAGGCTGGAAAACACAAGGCACACACACAAAAAGCCTCCTGTAGAAAAATTAGATATAGCCATAGACTGTAGACTATATATAAAGGATACAGCATGTAAATAAGTGAGCTTCAGAGCTGCTGATAGGTGGATTTTGTTACCTTTGGACATTGATAGGCTAGATTTTTCGAAAATAAGCGTAGGATTCAAGAGTCAAAGATTTATTGTCATGACATAAA